TAATTTAATGTGTACGTAAATTTGTTAAAATTCACCAAACTGATAGATGTATACATTGTACTGTATTTGAATGATATTTCAGTGAAGTTAATAAAATAGGCATATTTACCAAAAAAATCTGCAATTATGTTTGAATTCTTGGCACCATGAGCACAGATCATTCTCCTAAGGGCTAGAAGGAAGACCACTGCACGTCTTTTTGAAACCTTTCCAAGTTTCTCAATAACTGTGTTAGTCAGCTTTCTGTCACTGTAATAAAATACCTGAGATCCACTTTTGAAAGGCTCATTCTTCTGTAGGCTTCAGTCCTTAGTGCTTTTGGGCCTGTGAGAAGACCATACATCATGATGGGAGCACATGATGAAACAAAGTTGCTCACATCATAGCTGGAAGTGAAAAGAGGGAGCTGGAAGGGATGGGGGTCAATGATCTAGTACCTCCCACTAGGATCCATCTTTTAAAGGTTCCTCTACCTCCCACTAAGACCACTGGCTGGGGATGAAACCTTTAACACATAGGCCTTTGGGCTATTGCAATAACTATAAAAATAGCCTTTCAATTAAATAACTAGGATAGTCTATTTCAATTTAAACTCAAAAAATATAAAGAACTTAAAAAAAACAGTGTCCCAGTATCTATATTATGTGTACGTATGTGTATATGTAAACATAATTATTTGATGAGTGTTATAGTATTGGCTTCATAATCAGTTTGATTGTTTAAGAAAAGTCATATAGTCAGTTTATGGCAATCACTATTTACATCTTAAGCTTATTACAGTATCTTGAATATAATCATTGCTTACTAATATGTAAAATCAATGAATAATACTCAATGAAGATAAATATTCCAAAATCCTCATTGGGTTCCATGATGATAGACCTGCATTGGCAAAGGAAGTTCTGTTAAGGCAAGAAACACAAACAAAATTAATATACCTTAAGTGACCACCTACACACTGTTAGGATCTAGTTCAAATCACAGGGTTAAAAAGCAGAGACACAAAGGAGCTGAAACATAATGATGTCTAAAACAGATGTCACACAGAATACCTCTTAGAAATAAACTATAACAAATGACATTTCAAGATCACAATCATTCATCAAATTCTCAGAAAAATTAAGTAGCAGTACAAAACAAACTTGCAATGTTTAGCAAAACAACATAACAAATCTTGACAGATGGAAAGTGGATAAACAGAATAGCAATCTGTCTTAACTTTAAACAAAGAAACAAAACAACTGTAGCTAACAATGAGCTTGCTAAGAAATATGCAGGTGAGAGTATTTTACTACAAACGCGCTTATGACCTACAAGGTGTTATGTTAATACAAACAAGGACTAACCCTCCAAGGACATTGTGGGCCCATCACAAGTTACAAAAGTATTAAAATCTAAGCAGGTAAATTTGTAGTCATATTTATAAAGCATCTCAATTTCCATTGTTTTCCAAAATATGAGAAGTAAATTTATTTACAAAAATCAGTTGGTGGAAGGTATATTTACTTGGGTGTAATAGGAAAAAAATCCTTATATAAATATTGTTTCATTTGTCAAGATGATGCATAAATTCTGTGGATCTTTGCACCCTTGGAGTGCTCACAAGTATGTATCATAAAATTTTAGAAAGTGAAATTAATTACTAAGGGAAGGTCTCAAAGTAAAATCCTATAATTCAGAGCCCTCCCTAGACCATGTGTACAGGAAAAGGTATTAATGCCTAGGTTTGTTGGTACACCATTTTGTCATCATGGATTCAATTAATAAAGCTCACTAAGTATTAAATACTTGTATGACACTGTTCACAAGATGCATGCCTGAAAAGTTTAGAGTCTGATGAGAACTCTTTACTGAGTTTCTAATCTTACAGACTTTCAGAATAAACAGACTAGTCAGATGAACATATCTATAAGACACTTGGGAGTCCATTAAGCTTATTTATGGATCATAGTAAATAAAATATGAAATTAGAAAAATACCAACAGATAAGAATTAAATGCATAATCAACTGTTATATTGTGGGGATCCCAAAAGTCATTTTTTTCAACAAAAGATCTACATATACTGTTGTGCAGATATGGTAAGGCATTCCATACACAATGTTCAATGTGATTGATATCCCTTTTTGATGCTTTATATAATGGGATTAGATTTCCATTCCCCCAAATACTATGGGAGGCTTCTACAGAAGACATTTCCAAGTAACTTATACAGAGGTACTCAACATGTAAAACTAAAAACAGTGGAGAGATGTCTTTTCTTTTTTATACATTCTGTGAAACCAGGCAACAGCAATAATAGTCACAGCTGCTAGTCAGCTACAATCTCAGCCACAGAATGTTACCACTGGATGGCAGGTACACATTTGTTTTCACTCTGGTTGAAGGGAATATTGGGACATTTAGTCTTTTGTTCTCAGTTAAAACCAATCTATTGAGTGCAGTTTACATACACACAAACCTACTTTGGTCTTAGGGAATATTGGTATGAAAAGGCTGCTATATGAATTTGTGGGTCAGGATAGTACAGGTTTACATTTATTTAAGAACACATTAGAGCATTGTCATAAATCTAGCATTTCTTTGGGTTTTTATGCATTATAATTTAAAGTATTACTAAATACTGCTTATATTGATCAGAATATGATAGATTTTGCTCTCATGTCAAATAAAGCCTGAAATTTCAGTTTTACTTGTTTACACAAAGACTAGTACAAGCCAAGTAGTCTCTTCATCTTTGAGGGTGTCTATTTTATGGCTACTCCATCAAAAACATGACAGTCACACTACCATCTCTTTTCTCCATTTCATAAACATGGTTACCTTTCTGTTTGACAGAATTTGTGGTGGGCTCTAGAAGAACCCAGACATGAATAAAGCGATGTCTTTTCTTCCCAACAACCTGAAAGATTGGGAAGGCAGATAAAAAAAAATTCTAAGACAAGCATAGTGTAAAGCCAAAGGAGGGGGAGGCCCAAATTGAGGCACAAACATATTCTATGGGAAATGGCACAGAGGGAGACAGAATTATTTTACTCTTTTGGGGTTAATCAGGAATCCTTGAGATGCTACAGAGTTGATGACCTACTTGCTGGGCCTTAGAGGGACAAAAAGACAGGCAAGTTTGATATGAAAGAAAGGGTAGGGGATGAGAAAGAAAAGAACATGTGAGAAGATAGGCATGATTAAGGAATGAAGAAGAATAAAGGACCTGAAATAGGAGGCTGTGGGTATATAGACATTTATGTTGTGTATATACTCACTAATTTGATCTTTTGTAGAATATGAGTTGCTAGAATGTTAAGTATATTGGTGTTCATGGTTTCTCCCATTGTTATTTCACCTTATGAACAGAAATCAAGGAGAAAACTTTACCAGGACACTTGAAATTCTGATTATTTGATTTTCATTTTCACTAAGTTGTATTTCCCCCTCAATTTCTAAATAATATTAAACTGTAAATCATAGGACTAACTGGGATGTAATCATACCTAATTCTCCTTTCAGATTCCTAACCCAACCACATACTAAGTCTAACTATGGTAAATACTAACTCCTGGGGGAGTTGTAATTGTTGGATGAAATAATACTTAAAGTGCAAACTTGCTAAGGTTATGATAGAATGCTAGGACTAGTGATGTTTGAAGTTTTCACACTGGGTTAAACAGACCAAGAACATTATATTGTAAAAAAAGAAAAAAAAAAAAACAAACAGGACAAAAATCAAAAAGAATAGAAGACGGAAAGGAGAAAGGGGTAAAAATTCAGGAAATATATGTTCTTCCTTCTTCTTCCTCTTCTTTGAATGGAAGTAAAATTGATGAATAAGCAGGAGCAATGTCAACAGCAAATGCTCAAGTACATGACCTTGAAATGTCTTCGCGTTGTTTTTCCAAAGATTATCATGTTTTGATATCAAAATGAAGTGTTTGGAGTCATTGTTAGACAATCCATCCTTATCAAGTGCCTATTACATATTTTACAAATGTGTACTCATTGTAGTCTAAAAAACTATAGTACTTTTTAGATTTTTCTGCTAGTTCTTAAAACTAGGGCTGGTTCTGTGTACCTGAGTGGTAAAGCACTTGCTTAGCATACACAAGGCCCTGGGTACAACCTCTAACACTGCAGGAAAATAAAACAAGAAAACAAATTCTCAAATCCAAGCACGTGTTTATTCTTCTGGACAGTTTCTCTTTCTCTAAGTATCAATTCATGTTAAAGACGTTTAGGAAACCTCCATTTTGGGAGTTGCCTAAACGTTCACTTCAAGCTCTTCCTCTTTCCAACTTCCGGAAACCAAACCAATGACTGCAGGAATTACCACTGCCTTCATCATTATTCATTGCCAAATAACTAAATCCTGTGTTGAAGAATTAAATAGTTAACTAAAAATAAAAGGAATTATTTACAAATAACCCTCCCCCTCCATTCTTTCCTAATTCCAGTATCAGCTCGTGCTGTTTTCTGTGCCCTTCCTCCTGTGATGTAACTTTTATCTCTCCCTTGGAGGGATTTGGTTGGTGAGTTTAGTCTCCCACACTTCTACCCCCTTCATTGTGCGCTTACTCCCCCCAAAAGCCTTAACTGCAAAAAAGCAGTTGAACTGTCTTTCTCGAGCTCATAATGAAGATTTTCTAGTTTCTCTGCATTCTGCCAGGCTTGGCTCTTTGTCGACTGTTTGCACCCTTTCCTCGCACAGAGGTTGCTCAACTCCCCACAAGCATCTGAAGCTACCTCACACCTGCTGGCTAAGTTACGCGCCAAAATACTTCACAAAAAGCATGTCTGGACGGATCTGGAACAATAGAGCTCTCTGGGTGAAAACTAAAATGTGAAGTGGATTGCCCCAAGACACACATAAAGTGCCTAGAGCGTTGACAGCAGCTTGGAGCATGCTCAGTCGGCCTCCCGTCCCTGGGCGGCGTCCCCCCGACCCCCCCGCGTCCAGCTCCGGGTCGTCCTCGACACCACCTCCCCCGCACCCCCAGCCCGGCCCGCGCTCCCGGGCGCCACAAGGGCGTTCTGCCGCCCGCCTCCCCTCCTCCTTCTCCTCCCTCTCCTCCTCTGGTTGCAGCGGGCGAGGACACGTCAGGGGACATAAATAAATAAATAATTCCATTCACCGGGTGACAGCGAAGCGAACCAGCTGTGGCTGGGCGGGGGGTATCGGAGAGCTGTAGCGCCCACCGTGTGTCTGAGCCAGGTAAAGTAAGTATGCCCCGGGAGGAAGGGAGGAGGAGAGGAAGGCGAGCTTGCTTCTGCCACCCGAGCTGCCCTGGGAACCGCATGCGTGTGTACAAATAATGGCCAGCCTGTGACAGTCGCGCGCCCACGCACAGTTTGCCAATGAGCCCTAATATAGACAAAATAAACCCCCAGAGCTGCAGCCGCTGGAGAGCGGTCGTCGGCCTGGCGCGCGAGCAGCTGCGCGGGAGCTGCGGGGGGCGCGCACGTCAGGCCAGGGGGGCGCGCGGGGGTCCCGGGCAGGGCGACCGCGTGCTTTCAGCAACCAGCTGCCGGCGCTCTAAGTTTGGCACCCACACTCTGCAGGCACCTTGCTGCTCGCTCTCTACGTGATCCTGCAGACTGTGGGGGTGGGGGTGGGGCTGGTTCCCAAGTGTCCCTCACCAGCATCTCCTCCCGGCTGTGAGCACTCTGGATGGCGTCGTTGCCGCAGTAGGTGGAGACAAGGGTAGTGAGAGTGCGTGTAGGAAACTGCTTTTTTAGCACCTGATCGGGGCTTTGGGAGGCTGGGAGAAGGGGATGAAATACCAGGGGGTTCGTTTTCCTCCTATTTCGGTCCCCAGGAAGCGTGGCTGAGGGGGAGGCCTGTGGCTGAGCACAAGGCTGCGCGGACTTGGTAGGGGCTAGGAAGGGCCTCAGCCGCCTTACATATGCTGGGCTTCTTGGGTCGCTGCGCCATGCTGGGGCGTCAGTCCTGGCCAGTTAGTGCAGGTAGCTGGGAGCTTGCTCACCTGTGAGCTGAACTGCTTCTGTCCTCAGAGGATGCTAAGCAGCCTCTGCTATCCATCCCTGTTCTCTTCCAGTAAAGCTCCCTAGAAGGACTGCAAACAGCTTTTTGGGATGGGCGGTCCCGCCCAAGTCCACTTTCCCTGTAGCGCCAGAGAGAGAATTTTGTGATTACACTTCAGGAGAATTAAAATTACACACACACATCACACCACACCACACCACACCGAGGAAACAGGAAGAGTGTCTGTAGGACTGTTTCATTGACTCCTTTTTGTAGCTGCATAAGACTGGGCTGCTTTGACTGAGGATTGTACAAGCGGCAATATGAATGCTAGTATTTCATCTCCTCTTCCCTTCTGGGTCCAAAAAGAGACTCAGCACAGGAATAAAAATAACAAGCAATGGTGATTGTGAAAAAGAGTGGGAAAGAGAAAGTCATGGCCACAAATATCCTTGCCTGGCACTCCAGACTTCTTTGTGGTTAAACCTAGTCAGAGTTCAGATGTTTGCAAACTTTCAATGTTTTGGGTTAGCTTGAACGTGCTCTGTCCCTGGAACCCCAAGTACAAAGCATGCATTTAGGGGAGAGTGGCTGAAAAAAAATCCGATGTGGGTGGATCCTGCAGAGGGCAGATGAGGGTTGACCAAGGTGACTCACTTTTGGCCCTGGTGAAGTAATTCTTGCTCCACTTTCTGCTTATGAGCCCATTGCATTTAAATCCATCTAAGTGAGAGGGCAACTGAATGATCCCAGTGAAAGAGGAACGTTTTTACTGTAGGCAACACAGTGTGTTGTGTAAGAACTCAAATTCAGAAACGATTTTTTGCAAATATTCACATTAATAGTTTGTAGTTACCTACTTGTTATTTTGCTCCTTTCTCCTAAGGAGTGTTTTTGTAATAGTGAGTGCTCTGAAATTAAAACATCAGTTTCTGATGTCCAAATTAGTGCATCTTCCTACAAATGCTCAGTTAATTTCTAGACATGCACTTAACTCTTTTATAGTATCTGGCTTGTATTTTTGGCCTTGAGTCCTCCTACAGTAAAGGAGGAATAAGTGACCTAAAGAAATGTCACTTGTCCAGAATTACATTCCTGGGTCATGAAGGTGAAATAAAAGAGCATCTCCTGATTTTTCTTTTCTTTTTGCAGTACTAGTGTTTGAACTCAAGACCTTGGATTGCTAGGCAGGCACTCTACAAAAACCCTGATTTGCTTTTAATTCTATATCCATTCACCTGTTTTTGAGAGATTCATAGGGAAGAAGGGAATTAACTGTAGAGTCAGTTAGGCCCACTTTAAGCTTGTTTCTACACTTTGTAAAGCTACGTAAATTATGAACAATCCTGGCATCATTTTTTCTTAACCATAAAATAGGATTGGTGGTACCCATCTTAATGTACTGTTGTGAAGAATAAATTGTATAGAAAACATTGGGCTATTTTTGAGCCCCTAAACTCATTTCAGACATGGTATCAGGATCACCAAAATGAATGAATTGGAATTTTCCTCTCAGGAAATTAACATTCCTCAGATTAATGTTTTTCCTATTCCATTAAGTTTTGTTTTCAGTTTTCTATTTCTTTTCTCAATGAAAGAGAGATATATATCTGAAATAACCTGAAAAGAGTTGAGCAGTTGTAAGAAATGTTTCCAAGGGCTAGAGGTGTAGTTCAAGTGGTAGAAAGCCTGAATTCAAACCCCAGTACTGGAAAAACAAAGAAAGAGGTTTCTTAGATTTGCCAAAGGCAAATTTGAGAAGGGCCCTTGCCTTGGAAACATGTGCAATCAGTCACATGCATTTGTCCATTGTGGGTGACTTTGTATAAACAAATAATGGGAGACTGTCTCCTTGATTTGAGAAGAGGATATTCCATCCTTGAAGATTGGTTTTGCCAATGAATTGATTTACATTTTTTGAGAGAAGAGATTGATCTGTAGTGTTTTTTACACTAACAACACCTTAATCCTTTTTTTTTTTTTTTGGTGGGCATTTTCAGATGTAGTCACATTTCCATTTTATTGATGTAGATTTTAACAATTACTTTACCAATTAAATTATATATCCTTTACATGTTTTATTCCTTGAATTAATATTATATCACTTTACATTACATCCTCAGTACAACAGTATACTTTAGCAACATCTCTTGAATGCTCGCCATATTCCAGGCATTATGCTACCACTTTCTTGGAACACATAAAGATCCTATGAGGAAGCTGGGTGCAGGTGGTTCATACCTGTAATTCTAGCTACTAAGAAGCTGAGATCTGAAAGATTGGGGTTAGAGGCCAGTCCAAGCAAAATTTCAGGAGACCATGCCAACCAACAGAAAGCTGAACACAGTAGCATACACCTGTCATCCCAGCTACACTGGAAGCATAAATAAAAGGAGTGAGGTCTAAATTGCCAGGGCATAAAGAGAGAACCTATCTCAAAAACAACCAAAGCAAGCTGGGTGCCAGCGGCTCATGCTATAATACTAGCTATTTGGGAGGCAGAGATCAGGACAATTGAGGTTTGGAGCCAGCCTTGGGAACCAGTTTGCAAAACCCTATCTCAAATTTCCCAACACAAAAAAGGGCTGGCGGAGTGGCTAAAGTGGTAGAGAGCCTGCCTAGCAAACAAGAGGTCCTGAGTTCAAACCCCAGTATAACCAAAGCAAACAACAACTTAAGTGGAAATTAGGTACAGTTGTCTGACTTGCCCTATTGGCACAACTAGTGTCTTAGTCTGTTTGTATTATTTCAACAGCATATCTGATGTTGGATAATGTACACAGAAGAAGATATTAATTTGGCTTATGATACTGATGGCTAGAATGCTCAAATTGCATGGTGCTGGCATCTTCTGAGGGTCTCCTGGAAGCATCATAACATGATGGAAAAGTGGAAGGGAAAGTGGGTGCTTGCAGAAGAGACCAAAGCACACACATGGCATTGCTCACTTTCATGGGAGGTAACCTAGTCCCATGTGACCTAACCCACTCTTATGAGACAAGCATTTATCCTTAAGAGCCGGGGACACCATACATATTAGAGATTTAGGTGCCCTAACATGCCTCTCAACACCATTTTTTGCGGGGAGGGAGTAACAAGCCTCAACATGGGTTTTGGTGGAGACAAATCTTAATAAAACAATAGCAGATAGTAAGTGGCCAAGCTAGGATAAGCACCCAGGCAGTCTGTCTGGCATTCACCCCAATGAAATACACCTTCTGCCTTACATGAAGTTAATCCAGGGCAATGACTTTGTCTCCTGTGTCCATCATTGCCTGGCACATGGTAGTACTAAGTAACTGATTAAAGAAAGAGTGAAGTAAAGTGCAATGGAGGCTGATGTGGAGAAAAAGAGGAAGAGAAAGAAATAAGGAAGGAGTAAGCTGAGACTTCTCCTTTCTTCAGTGCTTAGTCAGTCAGGAAATGCCACAAAGACTGAGCCGCGGACAGGTGGTTGAGGCTTTATTGAGGATTGCTTTGCCTTGTCCTACATCAAATCATCTAGTTTATAACGCTCATTTGTGTGAACTAGAAAAGTATTTCTTTGGGCTGACAGATTAGCAAAAGGTACCTATAGAACATAATCATTAAAACAAACCTATTCAGGGTGAACAAAAAAGAAAAAAGAAAAGGACAACCATTATTCACTGTTTCAGGCTTTAAATTTTACTTTATAGACACAAAGTTGACTTTGTTTTATGCAGTGTGGGAGTAGAAGTTGTATGATTGTCTTGAACATCAAACATAGCTGTTATGTCTTATAAGTTATGCTTGACACGCAGAATAGCATGTAACACTTACTAATCACATTCTTTTACTGTCCTTTGTCCTTCCTTCCATCCCCTAACTCATCTCAAAGATAAAGTTCCCTGCTGGTTCCCATTTCTTGAAGTAATCTCTGTATGTGTCTGTATATCAGAACTGTCTGAAAGCATGTATTCTATTTTACCTTGAATTATAATTCTTGGGGTGAGAATCCTGTTTCTCTTCTTGGGCTATATGACCCTTGAATAGAAATCATATCTTATTCATCTGGGAATTCACTTGGACCCACGTAAATGGAACTGAATAGGGCAGAGGTAAAAGCAGGAGCTGTAACACCTGGGTTGTCTGGGCTGTGATGTTGTCTCTGCCACTTAACCAATTATGGTGAATTGCTTAACCTCTTTAAATCTGGACTTCTCATCAGCAAAAAGAAGATAATAACCAATTTTATATATTGGTTGTAAAGATT